GTATGATGAATTCTACTTGATCCCAAGGTTTTTAAAGCTTATAAAATGTGTTCATGTTATTTCAGCTGGGAAGTCTTGAGGTTCCTTCTGTCTAATTTGAGGATGTGGATTGAAGACTATCGCTTTGATGGGTTCCGCTTTGACGGTGTTACATCTATGTTGTATCACCATCATGGGATTGGTAAGCAGTTTAATCAGCTCTAATCTCAGCAGTCCTGTTGCAGCTGTTGCTGTGGAAATAATGCTATCAGGTTCACTGTTTCTCAGAGTGGGGGGAAAAAGGGTTTTAGAACAGGAGTTAGCAGGGCTCATTGGTAAGTTTTAAATTAGGTAGGAGAGGGGGGGAAAGGGATAAAACCAGTCTTGCCAGTGATGAGCAATGGGGTGGCACACCAAAACTTGAGGAACTCAGCACCAGTGGGATCCTTCAATCTGCCCCATGAGGTGTCTGCTACAACGAACCACATTTGAAGTGTTTCTACACCAACATACTCAGCGGGAGGAAGAAATGAGGAGCTTGAAGCTTTGACCCAGTCCCAGAGATATGACATCACTGACATAAATGAAGCCTGGTGGGATGAGTCCTGTGCCTGGAGTGTCCTGTTGGATGACAACAGGCTCTTCAGGAGGGATAGGCAGGGTAGAAGAGGCAGGAGGAGGGTGGTGGTATATGTGATGAAGAGGCTGGGATGTATGGAGCTCCCAGCTGGCAATGGCACAGTTGAGAGCCCCTGGGTTGTTGAGTCCCTCAAAGGCCAAAAGATCCCTGCAGAGATACAAACTGGAGTGTTGGACAATCACCAAATCACAAGGACAAGTGCTGGATTCTGCATTTGGGGCAGAACAACCCCTGATATATGTATGTACTGGGGAGTGAGATGCTGGAAAGCAGCACTGCAGAAAAGGACCTGGGGGTCCTGGTTGATGGCAAGTTAAATAAGAGTCAGCAGTGCCCTGGCAGCCAGGAGGGCCAGCCGTGTCCTGGAGGCATCAGGCAAAGCAACACCAGCCAGTCAAGGGAGGGGATTGTCCTGCTCTGCACTGGGGACAGAAGACCTAAGGAATGGCCTGAAGTTGTGCCAGCAGAGGGTTAGGTTGGATATCAGGAAGAGGTTCTTCACCCAGAGAGTGGTTGGGCACTGAACAGGCTCCCCAGGGAAGTGGTCACAGCACCAATCCTGACAGAGCCAAGAAACATTTGGACAGTACTCTCAGGCACAGGGTGGGACTCTTGGGGCTGCCCTGTCAGGGACAGGAGTTGGACGTTGGTGATCCTTGTGGGTCCCTTCCAACTCAGCGTATTCTATAAATGCTCAAAAAAAATCCAGGTTTGCTAAAAGCTTGTTTTGCTGCTCTGCGGGTAGATCAGAAATCATCAATAAATGTGGTGCTTATAAAATGGAATATTGCAAAATATCTGTTTTCTAAAAAGAAAGCTGACTGTAGCTTTTAAAACTGTCTTATTAGGCACAGGGTTCAGTGGAGATTACAATGAGTATTTTGGCCTACACGTGGATGAAGATGCTTTGTGCTATCTGATGCTGGCCAATCACATGATTAAGTTCTTGCATCCGGAATGCATAACCATAGCAGAGGTAAGATCAGAATCAACCACCCTCAATAACATTAATATTGATTAGTTTGCTTTGGGATGTGAATTTCTTGTTAATTATCGAGTCACACTTTGGGTACTGAAGAACTGACATGAGCTGAAAACTATTAATTAGTGGACAGACTTTGCCTGGTGGGGGAAAAAACAACTCGAATATGTGCTTTGGGAATTTTCTCTGCATTAATAGGTTATTAATTAATATGGTGATTTCTTTTTCTTTTTTTCCTTCATCACCTTGAACTTGTAATGACGTTTGTTTTTATTAGTTTATTTCTTGTGCGTGATAGCCATTTGTCACTAGTGCTTCAGGGTACTAAAAATTAACAACTCCAGTGTAGTTTTGCATATTTTGAATTATATTGGCATAACTCACAATTCCCCTTCAAATTAAATGCAATAAACTTATAAATGTTGAATGTATAGGCTAATTTAAATTTACTAATAAGTTTCTCCAGGTTTCTGAGGGAGTGAATAGACTATCTTACTTGAGTTGATTGAGATCAATTAACTTTTTTGACAGAAAAATATTGTTGGCAAATGGAACTTCTGATAGTATGAAACACCAGAGCATTAAAATTCTATGAATAGGTATGTTTTCATGGATATTTTGTCTTTATCTAAAAGAGAAAAAAACACTGAGGGTTTTTTCTGTTACTATGTTTCAATAATTAATTTTATTTAAAAGAAAAAGTTGGATCTATCTGATAAAAGTAGGGACTATTTGGATTTCTAATAATATTGCATTAGAGATTGAGAGCTTGAGAATTTCCTATTTATTTTCAGAAAACAAAGTACAGCTTAACTTCATTTCTTACCTATGGTAAAGTTTTCTGTTATAGACAATCACTTCTAAAAGCTAAATGAGAAGCTATCAAAAACAGCATCTGGTGAGCAATTACCAGTAAACTTGAGGTGGTTGCATTGGCTTATTTGAAGTGAAATATGTTAATTTTCTAGGTGGTATTAGTGGTCCAGGGGAAAATTCACTGCACTGTCACTGCAGAGACCCGGGTTCGATTCCCGGTCGGGGCCCCTCCCCGGGCAGATGGAGCTTGTTAGCCCTGTAAGGCAATCCATCTACGTCCTGAGGACCTCGCTGCCACCGTCCAAGCGTGCTTGGCCCCGGCAGATGAACCTCAGGATTAAAGGGTGGGCTCAGTTCCGCGCACACTGTGTCTCACCTAAAAAATC